AAAAAAAAAAAAAAAAAAAAAAAAAAAAAAAAAAAAAAAAAAAAAAAAATTGTTAATGCTGCGGTGTATCGGGAGGTTTTACTCGTTTTTGTTTTATTTCTGTGAAAAAAGGAAAATATAAATTAAATTTATTTATTTAATATATTTATTTTATTTTATTTTATTTTATTTTAATTTATTTTATATATTTATTTATTTTATTTTTTCAGTTTTCTTTATTTTCTCTTTTTGATGCTACAATACACTACCACCACCATCGCCATCGACGCTGCTGCGGTAACCATCCATGCAGCCACCACCAAACCATTGGTGCGATCCGCCTGAAATATATGAAAATTTTAAAAAAAAAAAGATATTTTTGAATATAATTTAATAAATTATTATAAATTAACTTTTAAAATTTTAATTTTAGAAAATTTCGCCCACAGATGCAACAAAGTTGAATTTCCCTGGTGGTGGTGTCATCGCGAAACCACTGCATGACCATCGATAGATAATAAGGTGAATTCTGAGAATATTATTTATTATTTATTTATTTATTTTTATTTAATTTTATTTATTTTTATTTATTTTTATTTATTTCTCCTTTTCTTTCTCTTTATCTCCGCTTCTTACACACTATGCCACCGCCATCAGCACCGTTTTCTCTCCTTTTTCAGCTTCTCTTCTTCTTTTGATTCATCCACCCAGCATTTATTCTTTTATTTAAATTTTTAAAAAAAAAAACAAAATGGGAGATGCAGCAGAGAACCCGAAAACAGAGCCCGCTGCTGCAGCAGCAGCAGAAGAACCAGCAGCAGCAGCAGCAGCAGCAGCAGCAGCAGCAGCAGCAGCAGAAGATCCAGCAGCAAAAGTAGAAGCAGAAACGGGAGCAACAGCAGCAGCGCCAGACGCAGCAGCAGCAACAAAAGAAGAAACAGCAGCAGCAGAAGAACCAGCAGCAGCAGCAACAGAAGCAACTGCAGCAGCAGCAGCAGCAGCAGCAGCAGCAGAATCACCTCATGGGGCCCCCGGGGGCCCCTCGCAGCCATCTACAGCTGCTGATGATAATAAAAGCAGAGGAGAGAGAAGCACACCCACAGGCGACAGCACCCAGGGTACTGAAGCAGCAGCAGCAGCAGCAGCAGCAGCAGCAACAGCAGCAGCAGCAACAGAAGCAGCAGCAGCAGCAGAAGCAGCAGCAGCAGAAAGATCGAGCTCAGGAAAACAGGTGAAAGTAGTCCCTCCAGCTGCTGACGAGTCGCAGCAGCAGCAGCAACAGCCGCAGCAGCAGCAACAGCAGCAGCAACAGCAGCAGCAGCAGCAGCAGCAGCAACAGCAGCAGCAGCAGCAG